ACTGGATCATCGTTCATCATTGGCTTTACGCTCGGAGGAGTCCAGACTAACTGCTACGAGGCATACTGCGGTTATGCCAATAACCGCGCACACCAGTGGATTAGGTCCAGTCGGAATTGAAATGACTAGGGTTCTATATCAGCGTGCAGGAGGATCTGCGGCCAGGGAGCTGTCTTGCAGGGGGTACGGTTGTCTGCAGAAATGCCAGTCTTGGGCTTACTGAGCTTACTGGTAGGTTGTCTGCATTGCGTGGTGTGTTTGGTTCCGATTGTCGTAGACTTGGGCTAGCAGTGAGTCTGTTGAGAGATACAAAGGGGTGCTCAAGAAGCGACATTCATTAATAGAACTATAGGGGGAATCAATGTTCATATCTAATGAATCTCTCATTCTTTCCATATTAAGCCATGGGTTGCCGAAGACCACTACAACACAAATATATGCACAAACAGCGCTATGTACCTGTACATGTGCACTCTCATCAAGAGCTTTTGGTAATATTTCTTCATAGCTAAGTGTTTTATATAATATCCGACACTATATGTTACGGGAGCGAGACATATCCAATGCAAGATTGTTTGACGTCTACATATGGCACAATGCCATTCAAGCAAAGCCCAATATCACAGCTATGATAAATTCGGAGAAACCACCAGGAAGATCGTAATCAAAGTTATCACTATCTCTGCAGCTTGAATAGCAATGTAGCCTCCTCTATCCAGCAATCAATCTAATCCAATACCCTACTATCTTGCAAAACTTCGAGACATCTACAGTTACCCACATATAGTCTCTTCATAATAACTCTGCATATTAACTCAATAAATACACTACTATCTCTCATCCATCACAAGCCTAGGACATCGATACATCAACATCATATCATAAATACAGAACCACGATCCTCGATCACCCAAGCACTCAGATATCCAAGCAATCGTAACACCCATACCCCAATACCAACCACCAACCACTACATTACTACCTTTACTACTGCTCTCACCCTCTAGCCCCAACAGGAACTAACTCCGATACAGCCCCCTACACAGATACCTAGTAGTTAGTTAACCAACAGCAACAATCAAGCCACTCCTAATCTCGCACATACTCGGACATATCCTGCAGCCATATTACCATACCTACCACACCCTCAACACTACCAATTATCTTACATCTACCATTCTTCACCACCAGCCCTATCCCAACCTAATCCCCAAAACTAAGCATATTATCATCATCATCACCACGTGCCATCAAACCCGTCAGACGGACCGTAACCTACGTAGCTACTAGTCAGTACTATTCCTCTGCCTCCATTGGCTATACTCCCAGACTAACTTCATTTAGGTCGTTTCAAACTGATACCAATCTATGTATGTACCTTCCAGACTAGGTTAACAGTCTGTCGTCGGAGATATATCGGGGTTTATACTCCATAGCTAGTCAACTAACTGGGTGGTTGGCTAGTTGGCTATCGGGAGGGAGCGAGTAGGCGGGTGGGTAGGTGGGTGGGTGGATTCGTCATCTTTGGGCATTCTAGAACGTTGGACTTGATACTTCTTGTTTCATTGTGTGGGTAGATGGGGGGATGGAGTGGAAGCATGTGAATGGAGGAGGAGAACGTGGTGGTGGTGGTGGTGGTGGTGGTGACGGTGGTGGTATGATATTCCTCGGTCCTGAGAAGGGTCTGCCGAGGTATTGATATTGGGGTGGTGTCAGCTTACGGAGGGCTTGCTGGTTTGCTTGTTAGTTTATGTGCGAGATGGGATATTTGCGGGGGTTGTTGTGTCTGAGTGCAGAAGAGATGGGGGCGATGGGGATGGGTGGTGTAGGGATGGGCTGACGTTGGATGGTGAGGTGGTGACGTTTGTGGAAAAAGAGTGGGAAGGGGGCATGTATACAATATGACGGTTCTATTTGTATCGTGTTGAAGACCACTTTGTGATTTGGTAAGTAGAATTGATATATAGGGGTATTCTTGGTTGCGGTGATGGTATTGGGGCATTGTAGGCTGAGTGTACATATAGAGTAGATACTGGGCGGTGTTTGGTAGACATATACAGACATGAGCATCTAGCATGGTTGACTCTAATTGACTCAACGATTATCAATGCTTGTACTTTACAATAGATTTCTTAAGTCGTATAAAGTAGTGTTAAGAAATAATAGCACATGGGCCACTACAACGAGATAACTACACAATCTGCAAAACAACAATTAATAAGCTTAAAAACTAACACCAATCTAGTCACTGACAATGCCTTAACACCTTGCTTCTCAATTTACATTTAATGTCTAACAGCAATACATTACTCCTCTGATCATCACGAGGGGTAATCAGCAAGGGCACCATAACTAGGGGAGGGGGGGAGGTGGGAATTTAGAGAAGAGATGATCCCCCTCACAGTACTACATATTGTCAATCTACTACTACAGACACTACTCTTAGCAAATGATTATCATACCCCTCTCCGGAATATCAAGGGATGGTTACTTCACACACATTCACAACAATAGTCAGGTAGTCAGCAGAGTACTTCGTAATCTAGAATGAAACATATTCATCCCTGCCTAGATCCCGAGTCCGACACTAGTCTACTTGAACTAGAACTAGAACTAGAACTACGGAATACACGGAAATGAGCAGAGCAAGCAAGAACCCAGGTTCCGGCGACTTTTCCTAGGCATATCTCATAGGGTAGTGCAAACAAGTTCCTTAAATCTCAAGTAGATGGTTAAGTAGTTAGTTAGTTATACCCGGGCACTCCGATACCCACCACCACCAACACTGCCATCTCCCCAAACTCTCAAGTCTAGCCCATCATCCACACCAACCCACTCCTCCCTCCTCCTCAATTGAACTAACTCAAAGAAAACATCCTACATCCTACAAAGTAAATCAAACCAATCCCTCAGATCGGTGGCAACACTCACGTAGATAGCTGATAACTGAACAGAACCACGAAAAAAAAAAATAAATAAAAACTTAGCTAGCTAACTAACTAGAATGATTAGTACCTAGCTGATCAACATCCCGTTTTCCGCACACCCATTCCTTCCTCAACCAATCCCAACTCACCTGTCCACGTACTAGTTAGTCTCAGCTTGAAAGTTAGTTTTACGTACCCCCCGTTTCCCCCTTTTTCTTGCATTTACTATCATTTCAAGAACCACTGTTTTTCCTTGATTCCCAAACATCCGGTTGGTAGGATGATGTGGGCGAAGGATCCGATTTGATTGCGAAATCGATGGATGGTGTGGTGTGGGTGGGTGGAGTGCTTCGAGAAGGTTTTTCGAGGGATTCGATGGATTCTTTTCTTTTCTTTTTCTTTTTCTTTTGGTTTTCTGGTGGCGGGTGGGACGGAGTTATTTTAAGAGGACTGAACTGATTTTTATGGATTAGGGATTTTTAGATTTTTCTTTCACATTTATGATTAGTGCAGAATATTTGTTTGGTTTTGAGGAGGATGCGAAGAGGTCTGTAAGTAGTGATAGTTGTGTAGGTATGTATACCATCTGGCTGGCGATGGGTGTTGTGCATTCTAGTTCGGTTGATTGGTTATTCAGCAATTGGGTGGTGGTGTTCTAGACATTGTGCTATCGTTATGTAGATACTAGTATTCCGGATGACTTTTCTGGATCCGGCTGTATTTACTTGGAGAGTCACTGTATGGGTCCGGGAAGAGGTTCGTTTCTTTGACTTACTTTGAGATCGGGTTTTACTTTGTGTTTTGGTAGATTGTTGGTCGAAGAGGTCGTAGTACTTTGTTCGCTTGGTTGGGAGGGTAGCTCATTCCGTAAAGAGTATCCTGTTTGTTTGGCTGGAAAGAGATAACAGATGGTAGTAGTAGATGTAGGGTCTAGAGCGCGTGTTGGTGTGGGAGATTGTAGTATACTAGTGACATGTATAGATGCCAGCTGTAGGGTTGGTACTATATGTTCGGTTTCTTCGATCAGGCATTTCTACAAAGGATGTCTTCTGTCATAGTAGATGAGGAAGAATAATATATGTTTTACCACTAGCACTCTGTAGTGATCATCAATAGGAGAAACAACCAAATCGATTAGTTGAACCATGTGTATACACAGTAGCCTCCATAGAAACTACGTCCCGTGGGATATACTCGCTACCGCAATATATATTTCAGCATCCAGGGATGTATCTAATATACTGCAACAACGCGTCACATCACATAGTCCCGACAATACTCAGTCAGACTCCAGTATCTACAAGTTCCCTACCACACCACTAACGAGCCTCCGATAAACCACGGAGCAGAATCCGGACTCCGTGACGTAGCATCTGTATATCATCAGGAACCGACGGGAGCGAACCATGGAACCAACCGATATCCCGACCACGAACCCGACTGACAGATAGCTTTCCATGGTTTAGCTGATTGCATGTACTACATGTTATACAAGATCCTGAAATACGACACCATCCATCGAGAATCAAGCCGAACTAGGCTCCTACGATGTATACATCACTCTGTTGTTGACGCGACGCGAAAAGAACTACCGTATTTGGCGGGCTCCATCGCTGCTATTGCCACCAGGCTAAAGTAACTGCCGATGTCAGTGGAACTGCTGAAGTTAGGTCTAGGGTTAGGGGAGGGCATCGCACAACGCACAAACCAGGAAAAGAAAAGCGGAGCGCTGCGGTGGAGGGGAAAGATAGAAAAATTGAAGAAAAAGGAAAGGAAAAAGAAAAAAATAGATGGAAAACTTGTCAGACGGAATTCCGGAGTACCAACCCACAGATGGAGCAGCTTATCAGCTGGAAAGAGCGGGTTCATCATTGAGTGGGTCGCTTTCATTATCGAGAATCTGCTCTTTCAAAAATTTTCTTTGTCTTGGACCCGTGTCTTCTGCTTTGACACCGTATGCTTTGGAAACTTGTTGTTCATCCAAGAAGTTGTGGGACCTCTCATGACAGCAGACCATATTTTCAATGCCATGTGTAGAAAAGCGATGCCCAACCTGATGGTATCTAGAAGCGGTCAAGAAATCCTTCCACGGGGATCAAGATCAATCCCCAACGGCACCGAGACGGTGATGGTTGACATCCTTCACCGACTCCAGGGATGCCCGCCTAGGATATTCCAGACCGTTCGGAGATGGAGGGGCACTTAGTACGGAGCACTACTGCCTAATTACGTGACGGATGGACGGATCACGGGCGCCGCCGACCAGGGTCGATGCAAACCGCCAAAGTCCCAAAGTTGTCGGGACGATGAGCGCCAGCCGAGATAAGTAGACTTTTTCTTCCACTTCCTAGCCTGGGATGGCTGCCGACGCTTGCTAGTGTAAGGGCCGGGGTTTCGGGGAAGAGGTTCCTGATTTCCTGCAACGGTACCTGGTGGAGTTGGACGCGCCTGACTGGATCGTAGACGCCCTGTGGGAATTCAATTGAAGATTCATTAGCCATGGTTGTGGAATCCGGCGATCGACCCTTCACGACGAAGCTGATCGACTGCATCTTTGGTGCAAAGGAGGAAATAGAACGGGTAGCTGCAGGGCAAAGAGCCAAATGGGAAAGCTAGAAGGGGGTTTCTTCGCTTTTCGAGACTGGTTTTTGAGGTTTAGCCCCTTTTTTTGTGTTCCAAAACGCGTGAGAAAAATCGAGTGATGATATCCAAGAGATTGGACTCTAAGCCCACCGAATCACCAAAGGTATGGAGGACACGCTCCCGCCGGAGAAAAGCGAGCCTGGATCGGAAATGATCGATCATGGTTGGGAGGATCGGTATGTACGGGAGTTTTGCACTATTGCCCCCCTCTCTTGACCCCGTGCGCCGGTCTAGGAAATCGATGCATGGTCCGTACGCAGGTGCTCGATATTGCCTGATAGATGAAACCCCAAGCGAGTTGTTCCCAAGTTATCGACACCCTTTCGACCAACTGGCAGGTCGTCGTCAACATCTCGCGTCGTTCCTGAACCTGCAAGCTCATAACATCCTTCCATGAGATACAGGACAAGTTGAGGCGTTGACTGGGTCGGACCGCTGCATGGCTCGGAAAGTGGATCAAGCACCCAGTAAGAGATAGTGAACGAATCGAATTTGCCAGGGTTCGACCTCAAGCCGAGGAGGTAGAAATTCGGGCGGCTGGACGTGTGAGAGCAGGCCGAGTGTCTGGATTTGACCTTTCTGTTGTCCATCCTTTTCCGACCTTCTCAAAAGCGTAAGCGCCCCGACTCACCGCTTTATTCCTGCAGGCCGAGCTCCTGGCAGATGAAAGCGGTGAGCCTGGAGTACGTAAGAATGGGTTGCTCAGGCACTAATGCTGATTAGGATTCTGGGGCCTGCATCTGGACGGATCCCTCTGGGTGGAGACGCAGAATCGCTGATGCCTCTAGGGCTGTTTATCATGGGATGATGGAAGTGACTGCCTGTCTGGCTTATCGCAATCGATGGTTAGCATGATAGCAGTCAGACTATCCTAGGTTTTTTTTTTTTTTTCTTTCTGTAGTTAGTGACATGCATTTGGTGGATAGCGATCGTGACCGGATTGATCCTAGGGGCATGTTGGAAGGGCGCTTCTCGGTAACTCGATAGTCGATACAATGCGCCCAGATGATCCGCAGGCAGTGAGAGCTCAAAGCACCACCCCCTCGGTCGTGGCGGTGGAAAGATAAATTAAACTGATTCAATGTTCTGGATAACTATCGGATGTATGCGATCCTCCTGGGGTACTTTTGTGCTCCCCTCATGATCATGTGCGTTTCCCTAGTAACTAACCGTGTCTGGTGGGGTTTCCTTGAGGCCCACCCAGTGATGCCCCACTCGCGTGCCGGGATTTTACGGGAACCTTTGTGGTGGTGGTGATGATGTTGACTATGATGATTATGATGATACTGTGCTGAGATCGAGGATGAAAATAGGCTTCATAATTTCTGTGGTTCAGTATGAAACACATGTATCTGAGACTATTCTAACTCATAGTCGAATCCCCCTCCCCGCATCATAGATTCAGAACCAAGTCTTGGATTGTCTGTGGTGGTCGAACCAAGGGGCCAAGGACAGGCTCGGAACTATCGTCCACCGTCATCTGACCGTGACACATTTGTACACAGTACTTGCACCGTGTAGATAGCTAACTAGTTACTTGTCTATTTACGTATGTAATCATTCCCCCTCCTCAAGGTGGATCGTTTACTTATTCGACGGAGACGCGGAACGAGGGCGCGTCTCCGAGTGAGGCTGGTTAGGCGCGACTGCGGGCGTGCAGGCAGCCACAAGTAACCTGCCCTAGGGTACCTCTGGCTTCAGACTAACTCTCTCTGTCGAAGGGCCGGATTCCCCATGCCACTTATGCAGTTGGGACTAGGTAGTCGGTCTTAGGTTGATGCATCTTCGGCTTGGATGCCAAACTGCCAAAAACAGAAACAATAGTGTTTGGGGATGATGCAGTCCTGCATCTTCCCAAGCTCCCAAGTTGGATCGCTCCAGAACATGACTTCTGTCTGCTGTCTCAAGCTTTTGCATTATCCATTTAGCGCCCAGGATGGAGTGACTCGGTAGTGTTTGGTGTTCCACGAACAAGGACACCTGATGTAGCCCGCCCACACGCTCGGTGGCCGAATCCACTGGATTGCTTCCAAAGTACTAAGTTGAAGGTGGGGGAAGGAGGGGAAATGGAGTTTGGCAAGCGAGCAAGCAGAATTGGAAACGAAACAGCGTCCATCGCCTTACGGAGGGTTGTTGTTTCTGACCCTTGATTTCCTTCACCTGCTGACGCTGGCTGTCGTGTTGGCGGCCGCTGGAGCAGCTGACCCTGAGCAGAAGTGGGAGGCAAACCATGCGCCATGTTTGAACCTCTGACCACCTTGGACCCAAAGTCATTCTGGCGTTCGCAGTGCATAGCACGATTAGCTTTTTCTGTCAACATAGTTCTTTTTCCTTTTTTTTTGTTTTTCCTTTTCTTCTTTTCTTTACCTATTTGGTCCAGGGGACATCCAATGAAGGCCAAGAGGCTTGCCAGAAATTTAGGGATGTTGGGGTGTGTTCTTTAGGCTACCGATAGACTGGGCGATGATCTGTCAAACTGAGAGACATCACATCGTCAGCAATATTCTCCTATTGCTGCGTGATGACGGGTGGCTTTTACCAGCCAAGCACGATTCATCCCCCGTCTTCTATCTGGCTTCAACTGACTTGGCAACGTGAAGGATTAAATTCAGGATGCCGCGCGAAGCTCTTATGTTCCCGGAAGTGGTTCGCGAAATGCGCTCGCGAACCATTCTATATTTGTACTTTGTAGACGTTCAAATGAACCAACACTCGTCATTGTGACGGACGGAAGAAGGGGAACGGAGGTGAGAGGGGGTCTGGAACAACGGCAGCGCTCGATTTGAAGATCCACCGGGGCTAGTTCTAGTCGGAGTTAGACGGGCAATCCCACTCACACAAATTGGATCGCATGGAAATGAAGTCATGACCAGCCTTGCGGCGGGCGGCCGATTATCAAATAACTAGTGGGTTATCTACGACATAAGTAGGGATTACCGGCGGTGATCCCAGTGAGCCGATTTACCAAAGAGGGGTTAAGGAAGGGTTAGACTTCATAAAGAGGGGAGGAAAGGAGGGGGAGGTTAGAGGGGTTAGAGGGGTAAGGAAGTGGGTGGCGGGATAGAATACAAATGGGGTAACATGAGATGATCTAGAAGAAGAAGAAAAAAAAGGAATAAAAAAAGGGATGATGATGATGGTTGAAGATAGTTATGCGGATTATTGAAGGATGAGATGAGTACGTAGGTACGATCAGCGTGAGGAATGGGAGCCCGGTTTGGACGAATCGACCACTTGATTTGGGGTGTGAAGAGATTCCGTGGTGGAAATGAAGGGAGCCAATACACGAATCATGATGGCGGTGCGTCTCCGTGGCATTTTGACGGTGCTGGATCCCTGCCGGAGGGGCAAGGGGGGGCTGACGAGGGGCGAAAAGAAAAATAATTTTGTAGGAAAAAAAGAGGGGACGGAGGGGAGGGGGGAACACTAATCTGTTGGCTGGACGGGGAGTTTGTGAGAGACAAGAAGAAAGAGAGAGGGAACGAGTGAAAGTGCGTGTCTGCGATGGATTCTCAATTCAACCTGCAAAACCAGTCTAACCTATTCAAGCCTGTTCCTTTTATCCCCTTCTTCTTCTCATCTACCGAGCACTCTCTTTCCCTCTAATTACTGTGGACCATTTCCATGCAATGACCAAGATACATCGACTGAAATTGTAGTCTAATGCTGTGCCCTGACCTTTGTCTACTGACAATGGTCAATGACAGTCTCTACCTGTCTTCTGGACGGCCCCGCAGCCGACTGTACCAAGTTTGCGATTTCTGCGCTGTCACATAGGGATGGGCAAGAGGGATGACTTTTTGGCTTTTCCTCATCTTACTTGCACCCGATACGTTTGAGGTAGTTTACAGCAGGTAATCCGAACCTCACTCAATTTCTCGGTGCTAGTCATGTCCGCCTTGAGGTTACTAAGACAACCTGAAGTCTTGTCCAGTGTCCTCCTCACTGCATTGTACCCATCGAGCTACCACTTGTACCCACTGAACAAAGTTACATACCATACCGTATGGAGTCCTCATTCCACCCCAAACCCCACTATGAAATAATATCGATGGGAAGTGGGAGTGAGTAAAAGTAGAAAGTCGAGCCTGCCATCCAGCTCCGGCATGGCTTTTGTGTGGTCAGTTAGGCAGGTCGCAGGAATACACCGTAGAAGCTCTGCTGGCCCATTATTATCCTTCTAGGGTCCTGCACTCGACCGCTGAAAGGTGAGCGAGGGGCGCCATCACCAAACAGGGATAGGAGCATTATCCGAGTGGGTTAACCCTAGCAGGGGGTATTTGATCATGAGAGTATCGACTGTGCGCTGTGTAAGAGAGGGGATGTATAGTGTTCCCAAGATGTGACGACTAACTACGGTGTACTTTGTAGCCAGCCCACCAACAACAAAACTAATCATCATGATAACCATGATCCAAATCTGTCCAGATCACATCTTGAGTCGCGATAACTCACCAGGGGAAACATGTAGGATGCTGCCCAATGTTGTGCATATGAAGAGTAAATTTTCTTTTTTTCTGCTCGGATTATTTTCTCGGATATTGAGATCATTGTGTTTCTTTTCGATTTTATTTTATTTTATTTTTCATTTTTTTCTTCTCACATTTTCCATTTTCCATTTTTGCCTTTTCCAGTAGCAGTAATGGTGGGTGCAAAATGGAAAATGGAGAGTGGATAAGATTCTCCCTCACATCAACCCAAGACCTCTAACAAACGGTCGATTTCAGCCAGTCGAAGGAGGCCCCCCGGCTGAACCGGGTTGACGGGTTGGAAGTCTACTTACTACTGTACGGCCCATGTGGGCTGCGGTGGGCTGGGCTACTGCTTTGTTTTGTTGTCTGTTCTTTTAGCTGTGTAGATAGTCTAGTTTGTATAACTTTTTTATTTATTTTATTTAATTTCTATTATATTATTATTCATCATTTTGCAGTTAGATCCATTTTTGTTTTGAATTTTGTTGCATTTTCATTTTCATTTTTGCTTATTTCCTTGAACTTTTTTGTCTCTTTTCGAAATATGGGTCACCGAAGGAAAGGTGGACGTGTCCTAACCAGGTTCCGTTTAGCCCGGGCACGCCGTTAGTCAGAATGGGCAACGGGTACAACCATTGGCTGTCGGGGAATGAAGACAGTGGCATTATGGGCCCCAGTGCGTGTTCGAATCCGGGGACTGGCCTGTTCGCTTGTTTTCCCCCTCCGTCAGTCCCGCCGAGGGAGCCCCTCTTTCCCGCCTCCCACTTCCCTGTTGTCGCTGCGCCGCTCGTCGCCCAAATCGCCAACACCGCCGCTGGACACGACCGCCTCACTGTCGCGATCCAGCGATCGCCCGAATCGCCCATCGGCTTGTGCCCACGTCCTGGCGCGCTTCTCTCTACACCCACACCACTTTTCCCTCTTTGCGCAGTCTTTCCCTTTCCCCCCCC